CCCCCCCTCCTTCAAATAATCCTGGACCCACCCCTGTGCTCGTATGATAATTTGGTCGAGAATTACTGAATATTGAGCTAAAAATGAAAATGTGAAAAAAAGAACAAATAACGATTTCATTGGATTTTATGTATTGCTTCATTTTGTACAGAAACCATACAATGGGGAAGGGTAATTTTAGGGGGCTGGGGTTGGGGGGGGCAGGGCATTCCAGACACCCACCCTGCAGTCGGCTTAATGATTACTCAGTCAATTTAACCTGATTCTCGGATATCACCAAGTGAACAGAAAAACTGCAAATGACATTCTTCAAGGAAAGACATTCTTGAGATCTTTACTGAACGACACTTTCTTTCATTACTGGAAAATTTGTCTCAAAACGGCTCATGTTTAAACGGTGTCGAATGCGACACGAAGGCATGTCCTTTATCATGCTATGCTGTATGACAACTGATATGGACATTTCACAAACGTGTAATTAACTCTCCATATCTATTTATAGGGGAAACGTGCTTCATAACATCGGAGGGCGAACAGCATCCGCCGGTGTGATATGAATTGTTGTCCCATTTACTTTGTACAGGTGACATTTGTCCCATTTACTAACCTTAATACTCCACCTAACCCAAACTTATACTAATTATATGGGACCCGGGCTTCCATTCATAGACCACATTAATATCACGCTTGACACACCGATTCAGTTCTGTTTTCAAAATATGACCATGCAGGTTGTCTATTCGCATTTGTTTGATTGATAATGCATGGGTTTCTTTACGAGAGAGCTAAAAATAAAATTAAAAAAGAGAAATCACCTTGGAAGAGAAACATACAATGGAAAGACAGCGGTTTTGGTTGTCTTTTCGATCTAATTTCTTTCCTTTTTGTTTTCATTTCATTTCATATTATTTATTTATTTATTTATTTTTGGAAAAAAAAGACACGTATTAAATAAATGCTGTTGTGTGCTCAATACAAGAGAGAAAAATTTCATTTCAGATATAAGTCATCCTATCACAAAAGACCGGTCGAGAATTTGACTTGGTGATCAATTAAGCCCCCTTTACACTGGACGGCGTCCTTTCTGCGTCCAGCAGTACGGCCCCATTTGAGAGTTAAAAAATTATAATACTTTACGTGCCGACAACTGGCCGATCATTGAGCATTCATTCTGATACAAAATCATTGCTCGTGCCTCCTTATTTAGACCACAGCGATGCCAAATTTCATGGTCGCAGATAGGACGCAGAAAGGACGCCGTCCAGTGTAAAGGGGGTATTACGGACCGACGCAATGCGAGAAATATCGTGACACAATAATTATCTATAATCATACATTGTTTATATACTCCTGAACAGTGATGCCTAAACAGTGATTGCAAACCATGTGACGATACTAGTGCAGTTCACAATTGTTGACTGGACAGATAAGCCCAAATATAACCGTGCTATTCATGTACGCATGCGCCCGTGTAGAATAGCTACTAGTACCTTACTGCACTAATAATTCTTTGCGATATGACGAACAAAAATATATACGTCTAGTTTGTAAGAGTTGTGATTACAGCTTATAGTTCATTGACATGAACATTATTTATTTTTGAACATTATAC